TAAGAACAGGGCAAGTCTGGTCATAACTTTGTTTGGGGTAGATATGACCCAACGATGGGGTGAAGACTATTGGGCTCCAGTTCCCAGTATGGGTCTCCCTTGATACCTCAGATATCTAAACCTCATGAAACCTACATAAATCCCAACAGCCGAATCCCTATGCTTTGAAACCTGAATTCCCCAAAACCGAAACCCTACGAGCCCTAAACCCGAAGCCCTACGATCCCCAAATCACCAAACAAGACTCCCCAAACCCGAAAAGCCTAGGAGCCCTAAACCCTAAGCCCTAAGGCACTAAATCCCTAAACCCCACCATCTCCTAAACCCATCTTCACCAAGCATCCTCGTCGATCTCGCGCTGTCGACGAATAGATGGTGCCTGCCGCAATGTGAAGTTAACAAAGCCATGCAAGCAGCAAGGTTTAGTCTGTAAGGTCCCTAAACCTAACCCCTCAACCTACACCCCAAAAAACCCTAAGCCCGAAACCCAACCCCTAAACCCTAAACCCACAACCCTAAGCAGAAACCTTGTCATCCCCAAACCCCCCGAACGCCTACCGGGAGGTTCATGGGTACTTACAGTTTCAGAAGTATGCTCGCGCAATCTGGGTATCAATCCATGTCGGGACCTTGTGCCGTCTGCAAGGGAAAGAGACCCTTACAGGATTGGGGTTTAGGGTTTAGGGTTTAGGGTTTGGGGTTTAGGATTTAGGGTCTAGGGTTTAGGGGTTGAAGGGCAACTAGGTTTCCCAGGATAACCTGGGACTAGAACGGGTTAACCTGGGACTAAAGCGGGCACGCTTCTTGGTTTCGAGCTTCGGGTTTAGGATGGTTTAGGGTTTCGGGTTGAGGGATTAGGGCTTCTGGCTCATACAAGGGAAGAAAGGGTAGTGCTGGGCTCTGGTTAGGTTCATACAAGGGACTCAGGGCACTACTGGGTATCCTAGGACACAAGTGCACCACTTTCCACCAGTTCGCTCTAAGGCAGCACTATCCAGGTCTTACCCTAAACCATAAACCCTAAACCCTGAAGTTCCCCCGCCATATCACGGGTTTACTGTTTCGGGGTATAGGGAATAGGGAGTTGAAGTTGTGCGTGTCGGCCTCCTTGTTCATGTCAGCGATGGAAACGTAAGGGCAATCCTCAGCAAAAGGAGGGGGCAAACATGGGCGGCTTCGGTGTAGGGCTTGAGGAACCCGAAACCGACAACCTCCGAAACCTTCCTAAACCATCCTAAACCCTCCTAAACCTTCGAAACCCTCCAAAACCCCAAACCTCAGGCCCCGTACCCGAAACCCTTAGGGTTACCCCAGTCTCAGGGCGGTTCGTGGCTGTCCTAAGCCACATCGAAGCTGTACGATAGACCCTGCTTAAGCTCCCGGGCTCCAAGTAACCCGAGTTTAGGGTTTAGGGTTTAGGGTTTAGGGTTTAGGGTTTAGGGTTTAGGGTTTAGGGTTTAGGGTTTAGGGTTTAGGGCTTAGGGTTGAGGGTTTAGGGTTTAGGGTTAGGGTTGGGGTTTAGGGCTGAGCCCAGGGACGTTGCAGTAGACCTTGAAGCATCGATCCTCTGCCTTCTTCATCACGTTCACCTGCAATGACTCAAGGGCGGCACAGACTGCTGGCCCTAAACCCTAAACCCGAAACCCCAAACCCTAAGGGTTCATCTAGGGGTGTTGAGTTTAGGTTTTCGGGTTTTGGCTTTAGGAGATCCTTATAAGGTTGCTATGTGGGGTTTCGGGACCCTATGTAAAGATCCTTATGGTAGAATAAGGGCTATATCAGGAGTATATGAAGGGGATCTCATTAGGGGTACAACCTTAGGGGGTACGAGTCTTCGTCCCTTGAGTTTAGGGCTGACAGGCTACGGTTCAATTTGGATCTTGCCGGCAATGCCCGTGGCAGACTATCCTTTTGTACTGATTTGGCAAAAAAGAGATGTAAACCTCGACACGTGGCAAAGTAGATGGAGCGATGCTGCTACAAGCAGGCCTTTGAATGCGCTAGATTGTGTCCCCTTCTGGTAATGTCCCTTCTCGGCTTAAAGGGGCATATAAGGGAACCTAAACCCTAACAAAAGAGAATGAGGGCCTACTAGCAACGTATAAACCCTAAAAGGGAAAAAAGGGCCTACGTACTCTGGGTCCTAAAACCTAACCCTAAACCCTAACCTTAAAACAGGGAATGAGAGCCTACGCTGGGATTTTAGGGTTTAGGGTTTAGGGTTTAGGGTTGCAGGCTCGAAAATGCACCCTAAACCCTTAACCCTATACAAGAAGTATGAGGGACCGCTGGCAGCCAGTACTGCGACCTGCGCTGTGTTTGTCTGCACTCCATGCTGTTTTCCCAGGTTCTCCAGGACCTTAAAGATATTCCTTAAAGTATAGGAGGGTTCCTTCTATGGTTTAGGAATATTCCTTAATTCAGGGGTATTGGAGCCTCTGGGTTTATCTTACCTGTCAAAGAATAATGAATAATGAAGGAGTTAAAAGAAGTACCAGTATCGTCCCTTTCCCATCCCCATAATCGTTCAGGGTTTAGGGTTTAGGGTTTGGCACAGTAGGAAGGCCCCTCCTCCCCCCCCCCCCCCCCCCCCAATAGGGACAGCGCCCTGACCCCGCTCGTCCAAGACATTGGTCCCATGGCGGTTCAGGGCTGGGGGCTTAGGGTTTAGGGTCATGCCTCCGACAAAAAAATATCAGGCCAAAACAGGGTGGCGACACGCTTTTGGAGCCGCAGCCCTCGCACTCATACTCGGAGAACTCCTGTGGGTTGTTCATGGCCTAAACTGCAAAACTAAAGCAGTGATTGATGCCTCAGTAGCCCAGTAACCATGTTATGAAAGGCACCCCTTTTTGGGTTGGTTACTTTATAAGGAAACCCATAACCCAAAAAGGGGTAAAGGGTACCACTGGACTACAAGGGGTCTCTATCGCTGGGCTGGGGTTCGAAAACGCTGCTTCAGGCTGGAAATCCGCATAGTAACAAGCCTCACTCCCCTCCAGCATAAGACAAAAATGTCTCTATAGCCCTTCACCCTCATCCTTTATCTTTATGCCTGAACTCGAAACCCAAACGTCAAATCAAAACCCGAATTCTGCAACCACCATCCCACAACCCCACAGCCCTGGACCCTAGAAACCCTGGAACAACTCACTTAACTCAGGAGTCGCAAGACCCTCAGGCTAAGCTGGGTACTTCTGAAAATTTGGGGACCCCCCTCTTGACCCCTGTAGATGCAATATCCCTTACTATAATCCTAAGGCTCCAAGGACTCTTACTTTACGGTATTGAAGCCCAAAGGCCTTCTTGTGAAAGGTTTTTGGTCTATGGTAATAAACCTAAGAATCTTCAAGCAGGGCACTGGAGTAGAATGATCAGGACTCAGGGATTTAGAGTCTCGAGGTTTGGCAGGAGTGAGAACAGGATGCCAGCTCCTTGAGCTTCCCTTTCCTTCAAAAAATGTTGCTTGTCTGCGGTTCAGGGACTGAAGCGGTTTAGGGCTTAGGTAGGCCGAGTCTTTAGGGGTTTGGGTCTTGTAGGGATGCTAGACCGCATGCGGCGTCCTCCTCCTCGGAGAAGTAGACGTCCGCCTGGCGCTAGTAAACCCTGGCTTGAAAACACTCACCTCTAAACAACAGCCCTCAAGCGCTGAGCACGACCGAAGATGCGGGTTAAGACTTAGGGCTTCTGGTTCTTTGTGTAGGGCTTACATAGGGCAACCTTTTTACCCTGAAGCAAATCGAAAAACACTTACCCGTATTAAAGGTATACTAGGTTGCTCTAGTTAAGGGGTAGAAGGAGGGACCCCCTGGAGAGGACCCGCAATCTCACATTACCCAATAGAACCCCTTATAATTACCTTACATAGTCCCTAAAAACCTAAGTAGCCCCCAAAAGGTCGCTTACAGGGGCCTCATGTAGTCCCTTGATCTGAGTAAAAACCCCAAGCCTCAAACCCTAACGAGTAGTGGACTCGGTGGAGGCTCCAATACCCTTTGATTAAGGAATCTTCCTGAAACCATACAAGGAACCCTCTGATGCTTTAAGGAATATTCCTCAAGTACGGGGTGTTGGAGTCTGTGGGAATAAGAAGGCAGCACCAGACGGGTGCCTTGGCGCATAGCCCAGAAAATATCCTCACGCCAAGATGGGTTTGGGGTTGAGGGCCCTAAACCCTAAACCCTAAACCCTAAACCCTGGAACCCTGGAACCCCAAACTGGAACCCAAAACAATAAACCCCACCCCCCCTAGAACTCTCAATTCCAGCATCCCCCCCAGCCTCGCGGCGTGGCTCGGGCTCTTTCAGACTGGCAATCAACTGGGCAGTTCTCAAACTCATGGTCCCCGTGTAGGCTTTAGGGTTTAGGGTTTAGGGCTCAGGGTTTAGGGTTAGAGTTTAGGGTTTAGGTCTTTTAAATCATTGAGGGTTCCAGGTTGAGGGGGTAGGGTGCCATTTTGGGCCGTTCCATTCTCTACATCGTCGTCCCTTTTGGGGTACCCCCCCCCCCCCGCCCCAAGTAGAATCAGAAGGCTCCGTTTTGGGCGGGAGCCCCTCGAAACTAGGGACCCTAACTTCCGCACCGGCTCTTATTCAGGAATTAGCGCAGAGACCACCCTACAGAACCCCTTAAAGAGGTTGTGGGGAGGTACACATAAGTACATGATTCCCATAATTCCGCAACAAGAACTAATGTACGTAAACCCTAAAGCCGCAAAAAGCGAAAAACGCAAACACTTCCTTTATCAAACCCCTAAATACCCCGAACCCCGCAACCCCAAACCTCTAAACCCTGGTTCCCTATACGATTTCTTGAAGTTTCATAGGGGTTGCTGCGATCCTGAGGATTGCTTAGGGTTCTGAGGACTTCCTACGGGGTACTTCGGGTTCCTTCTCGGGTTCTTGGGATTTCTTCCATTTCTTGTGGTCCCGGGGCTTGGGGTCGAGGGCTCAGAGCTCAGGGTTTTGCGGGCTCCCGGGGCCTGCTGCGCGCGGGTACCATCAGCAGAACCGTCTTGAGTGGCCACTCCGGCACATGCCTTTACCATACTGCGAAGGCTCTGCATCATAGTAGCCCACCCGATAGGAATCCTACTTCAACAAAAGACACATGCACTAATCCTAAACCCTAAACCCTAAACTCTAAACCCTAAACCCTATTATAAATTCTTTCCCTTGGGCATGGGCCTGGGCGCTTCGCTCTGTGGGATTCGCCTAGGACCACTCTAGCTGGAAACTTTCCCCTCTGGTAAGTGCCACTTCTCTATCCTTTTTAGAGTTTAGGGTTTCGGGTTATACCTATAATTAGTCTTTATAGAGAAAGACACCGAGACCGCTGCTTTTATTCGCGTGTCCGCAGTATCATCATCGCTGTCGTCCTGGCGTCGGCTGTGCTGCCAAGATTTCACAGGGACCCCAACGGAGATGTTTAAAGAGTCATGCACTGCATCTGATTAAGCCCCTAGTTTGAATTCGTAGTCTTGAGTCTGGCCCTGGTATGCCGGAGACTGGTTTCAGCCCAGACTGATCCACTTCGAGTTTACAAAAGAATGTCACGTCCACGGCCGACAACATTTTGCAAAGTTTGAACTCGCCCGTGCCGGGAATGTCTGAAAGACTGGCTACTCTCAGGTCTATAAGTCCCGAACACCACATACTGTCAACCCCGTCTGTAGAAAAAACATACACAAAGATAAACCCTAAACCCTAAACCCTAAACCCTAAACCCTAAACCCTAAACCAAAAACCCTAAACCCTAAACCCTAAACTATAAACTAGTCTGGTTCAAGACTGCCGCCGGCCTCCGCTGGGCTAAGCTCCTGGCGGTTTCACAGGGAATAGGTGGGAAAGGGCACACTTTCGGGCTTATGCAGGGTTTAGGGTTTAGGGTTCAGGGTTTAGGGTTTAGGGTTTAGAGAATGAGGGTTCGTGCCTTCAGAGAAGAGCCCGGGATGCAGAAGATCGGAGGCCTCCTAAACCCTAAACCCTAAACCCTAAACCCTAAACCCTAAACCCTAAACCCTAAACCCTAAACCCTAAACCCTAAACCCTACTTGCAGGCAGTCCTGCTTCTCTTTGTCGAAGAGCGTCTTGGTGATGTACTTTGTACCTGAGCCCTAAAAGCCCTAAAAACCCTTAAAACCCTGAAATCCCCAAAAACCCTGAAAAATCCTAAAAACCCTAAAAACCCTAAAAACCCTAAAAACCCTAAAGCCTAAACCTCAACCCTAAACCCCTAAAACCCCTAAAGCCTTTGGCGCTTCTGTGGCTTGTGGGGTTTTGCGTTTGCGGAAAATTCAACTTGAACCCCTGGGTTTAGGGTTTAGGGTTTAGGGTTTGGGGTTTGGAGTTCGGGGTTTGGGGTTTTGGGGTTTTGGGGTCTTGGGGTCTTGGGGTCTTGGGGTCTTGGGGTCTTGGGGCTTTCGGGCTTGGGTTTAAGACACTGGAAATCTTCAGCCCGCAAACCCTACCCTAGAAGCCCCAAACACCTTACAACCCAATTTCTCAACCCATGATAACCGGCTGGATTAGGGTTTTGGGGTCTATACGGCAATCAACCAATGTCGCAAGGGGATGCACCGGCGGCCACTTCTCTGACACGTCGCACTATTGGGTTAGGTTCGGCGTAGCTTAGCATACATGGGGGACGGTTTAAAAGTATGCCCCCCCCCCCGCCCCTCTAACCCTAAACCCTAAACCCTAAACCCTAAACCCTAAACCCAAAACCCATAATAACATGGAGCACTTGTATCTAACCCACACAAGAAGGGACCACAAATTGAACACAAAACAACGTAACTCTAGGTTGCCCAGTAACCTAGGAGTAAAAAGGGTGCCCTTTTTGCCTTAAAGGGGGAACCTAGAGCCCCCAAAAAGGGAATAAGGGTACTACTGGGCATCCTAGAACTGGAGTGCAGCCCGCATCCCTTGATGACATGGAGTGTCAGGGAAGGGTGCTTTGTCATTGGGGGGCTAATTAGGGTTCAGGGTTTAGGGTTCAAAAAAGTAATCACCCTAACTTGAAAGAATACAGACCTCCAGTGGGGAATCAGTGGGGAGCCGAAGAACAATCTCCCCCCCGCCACCCCCCATGGCATCCGCGAACAGGCATTCGACCCCCTAAATCTGGGCCCGTAAGCCCCAAAACCGTAGACCCGTTGTTGCCCGCCGAGCCCCGCGCAGTCATTCCGGAGGTACAGAAGGTACCTGCACCAGGCGTTTGCCTGGTTAGGGTTAGGGTACCCACTTTAGTTGCAGGGCTTCAATTGCAGATTCCCTCGAAACAGCCCTGACAACCTCAAGCACAAAGCACTCAACGCCCGCGCGCACCCCTCAATAAATAACGGTGTCATCAAGCCGACAACACACAAACAACCTCAACCCCTCAACTAACCAACAATCCCCTAAACCCCTGAGCCCTAAACCTCGGGAACCTCCACACTCTGGGTAGCCCAGCAGCCATCTTAAAGTAACGGTGCCCTTTTTTGGGTTGGTTTCTCTATAAGGAAAGGCACATAGAACCAAAAAAGGGCAAAAGTACCACAGGGCTACCAAGCACTTTCTTAACCCTAGGTGCTCGCTCGCGCGCACCGGATGCTCTTGATGCGCTCGCCGGCTTTGTTGGTTTTCGTCTCGAGCTCCCAGTAGGAGTCCTCCGGCTCGAATGGTTTTGTGGTAGAGTTTATAGGAATCAGGGTGTAGGATTAAAATCTTGGGGTTTAGGATTTGGGGTGGGCTTATCCCAAAATCCCAAACCCCAAGCCCCGAACCCTAAACCCTAAACCTGCAACCCTGCAACCCCAGAACCCCCACAACTAAGCTCAAAGTGGTTTAGGGTTTAGGGCTCAGGGTTCCCGAAGTCGCACCCTCGACCCTAAACCTACTTGGAGGTTCATGGGTACTTAGAACACAAGGGTTTAGGGTTTAATTAGGGTTTAGGGTTTATGGGTTTAAGGTTCAGGGTCTAGGGTTTAGCGGGGGAAACGAAATTAAACTGTGGTTTTAACCGTTTTCACCGTTATCATGTTGCCTTACTTGTGAGCACCCATGAACCTCCAAGTAGGGCTTATGGGGCTTCCTCCACGCTCAGCCAGCGCTCGTCGCTGAAGTCGTCGTCGATGACGTCCTCCCCGTGCACCGTCAGCTTGAGATGTCGGGACCTCTGGGCTTAGTGTTGAAGGGGTTGAGGGTTGAGGATTTGGGGTTTAGGGTTTAGTGTTTCGTGTTTAGGGTTTTTATGCGGGGAAATCTCGGCTTAGGCTTTGGGGCCCATTTCGAGCTTCTTGTTCCGGAGCCGCATTGGAGGGACAAGGATTCAAGGCTCTGGGGCGGTCATGCAGTACAGAGTTGCAGGGTTTAGGGTTTAGGAGGTACTTCGCGTGCGTGGGTCCGGCAATTCAAAGAGGGGGGGGGGGGGGGGGGGGGGGGGGCGGTAAAGAATGAGGTAGGCAGCATTTTTCGTTTTCACATGTCAGCCAGAATATCACGACGAGAGTGTGGAACCCAAATTCGAACTGATTATCCCGAATTTTCTTCGTCTTACTATTGTCAAGATCATCATGGCCGCTGCCTTTACCATGTTCGTGATGAGGACATACAACTGAACCCTAAACCCTAAACCCTAAACCCTAAACCCTAAACCCTAAACCCTAACCCTAAACAAACCCTAAACCCTAAACGGCCCTAAACCCTAAACCCCAACAAGTTCACAGTGGGATCGAAATGCGGGGTCCAAGATCAGAAAGTTGGCGTTGGTACGACTCAGGGCGCCTGCAGCTGTTTTTTGGCTCCTGACCCCGCACGAACTCCGGCCCTGTAGTAACCTTATAAGGTTTATATAGGCTTCAGACGTCTTAGGGTTCAGGGTATAACTGACTCAGCACAATTCAGACACATTTCCCGAGCTTAGAAGGCATAGACGCCTAAATTTCTAAGCCCGAAACCCTCAAACCCTCAAACCCTCGATTCCTCAAACCCGCAAAGCCCTAGACCCCTCAACCCCAAAACCTAAACCCGCAAAACCCTCCAACCCTTCTGAGGAAACTCTCAAAAACCCTCAAACCCTTCTGAGGGCCCACGCGTCAGCTTGGCTTGCACGTGCCGCGGCTCCGTCTCCCTCCTGGTGGGAACCTCGCCCGGGTTGCAGCCGTGGGTTGCTTGGTAGCCCAGTAACCATCTTACAGTTAGGGTTTAGGGTTTAGGGTTTAGGGTTTAGGGTTTAGGGTTAGGGTTTAGGGTTTAGGGTTTAGGGTTTAGGGTTTAGGGTTTAGGGTTTAGGGTTTAGGGTTTAGGGTTTAGGGTTTAGGGTTTAGGCACCCTTTTTGGGGTTGGCTATTTCATAAGGGAAACCAGAACCCCAAAAAAGGGTGAAGGGTTCCACTGGGCTTCCAAGGTTGAGAAGTCTGGTATCAGGGTTTTAGAGGTTTAGGGTCGATGGTTTATGTGTTCAGCGTTTTAGGGGGTAAAGTTTTAGGGTTTAGGGTTTGGGACTAGGGATTGAGGGTTTGGGGTTTGGGACTAGGGATTGAGGTTTCGGGGCTTTACGTTTGCCTCAACAGCCTAGCCTATAAAACCTACACCGTGCAGCGAGAAGCATGGGAGTCGACAACCCAGGAAGCCCCAACCACCTGAATCGTAGGGCCCAGGGCTTCAGAGCCTTCGGACGTTTAACTCCGAACCCTCTAAACCCTAAACCCTAAACCCTAAACCCTATAAACCCTAAACCCTAAACCCTAAACCCTAAACCCTAAAAACCCTAAACCCTAAACCCCACCACCCATGCGCCGGAAAGCAACCACACAACCCAGCAGTTGCGCCTCAAGCTGCACACAGTCTCGTGTGAAGCCTTCATCGTCCTGGCTGTCGGTTTGGGGTTTAGGGTTCAGGGTTCAGGGTTCAGGGTTTAAGGTTTAGGGTTTAGGGTTTAGGGTTTGGGGTTTGGGGTTTGGGGTTTGGGGATTAGGGTTTAGCGTTTAGGGTTTGTTGTTTAGGCCTGCGGCGAGCGCGTGACGGCAAGGGAGGCATTTGGGAATACAGGGCTTCTGTAACAGACCCGTAGGTACCCTTCTTTTGCACTTTGAATATGAACGTTAGTACAGTGTGTACATACCTATTATTCTGTATGGACAGCTCAAGCAGAAACCAAATGCCTAGAATCAAAGGTCGAGCTAGGGATTGTATTGGCTTCTGGGTTGAAAATTTGTGGAGGTCACGGACACTACAGTAAGGGTGAATTAGTAGGTTTGCAGTTGACTGGGCTCACGTGTAAGGTGTGATGCCTCTGCAAATCAGCATTGAACCAACACCAGTGTAAACTGAACCCAAACCCTAAATTCCCCTAAAACCCTAACAACCCGAAAAACCCTAAAACCCTAAACACGCTAGAAACCCTGAAAAAACAAACCCTGAAAACCTAAAAAACCTAGCATTTGTGCCAGACTCACAGTGGAAGTGTGGTTGGGGGAATTTAGGTTTTGACCTGCTGGATTCCGTTGCTTTTGCATGTTGAGCACACTGAACCAGCTGAGGCTTAGCAGGTCTTTTGTAGGGTTTAGGGTTAAGGTTGTAGGGGTTGGGGGGGCCTCGAGATATGTGCACAACTCGAGCTGGAATTTATGGGTGCACGGGACCCGCGCAGAAAACCCCTAAGCTACCCTCATTTTTGGTGACTCACAGTAGAGCAATTTGTAGGGTTTAGGGGTGTAGTGGTTTAGGGTTTAGGGGTTTAGGTTTAAGGTTTTCGGGTTTAGGGTCTTACACCCTAAAGTGCCCATCCACCAAAAAAGCCCTAAACCCTACTCAAAACCTAAACTCTCAACCCCAAAGCCCGTATACTAGACCCAAGAGAAACCTCCAGAAAAAAGGCACCCTTTTTGGTTTAAAGGGGCTTATGAAAGAAGGGGCAGTAAGGGCATACTCTGGGTCCTGGTAGCCCTCAACCCTAACCCCAAACCCAAACCCCAAACCCTAAACCCTAAACCCTAACCCCAAACCCTAAACAGTTCACCCCATGCTCTCCCTTACCCCTTGCACCTCGTCAACACCGAAGCTCCAAGTGTAATTCTGAAACTTCTTCTCCAAGCGCTTCCTTCGAGCAGGGTTTGGGGTTTAGGGTTTGGGGTTTAGGGTTTAGGGTTTGGGGTTTAGGGTTTAGGGTTTCGGGTTTGGGGTTTAGGGTTTAGGGCTTAGGGCTTCTCGCCGCGGCGCGGCATATCTTGCGGCGGAAGAGCTAACTGAAACCCCCACAACTAGAGAGGGTGGGCTGGCTCGTTCTTCCCAACCCCCGGCGTGCCAGAACGGCCAAAAAGAAGAAGGTCCCGAGCCCCAGCAAAGTTCTAGAACAGAAAGGGGCTTGGGTACGGCCGAAGAAGGCTTGAGTGGAAATTCAGGGTTTAGAGTCCTAGCGGGTACACGCCAAAATATGAGCAACATACTGGCTGGGCCATTCGCCCGAAGAGGGAATATTGTTGGAAAAAAGGGATAATTGCGCAGCTGTTTCCTTGTGGGCCATGCTTTCCGGAACCACAACCCTAAACCCTAAACCCTAAAACCCGAAAAGAAGTACAAACTATGGGCTGAGGCTGCAGGAGCAAGCATCGTCAAAGCAAGCCTTAGCCCTAAACCGTAAACCCTCAACCCCAACCCTAAGCCCTAAAACCTTAACAACGCGAAAGCCTGAGAAAGTTGAACTCTCAACCCTAGAACCCTGGAGCTCCAAACTATTGTACTACCCTAAATCCTAAACCTGGCAAAGCTGAAGAGTTTACCGTTCAGGGTTTAGGGTTTACCCACCCCCTCCCCCCCGCACCACCCTGCTCCCACCCGGCGCGGTAAAAACCCGGAAAGCAGTGCCTTGGATCAGTCTTGTCCAAGAAGGCCTCCCACTCATCCTGCCACAGGGCTACTGAACCCCAAAACCAAAAGCAACTAATTTCACTAAACCCTAAATTTTGGACCATGAACCCCTAAAGCCCTAAACCCCAACCTCTTCGTTGAAGCCGCTTGGAGTGGCAAAATACCTTTATGCAGTCTTCAGCACAGGCAGGTCGCCCCGAACACTCCAGGACAGGCAGGTCTCCCCGAACCCTAAACTCTAAACACTAAACCCTAAACCCTAAACCCCAAACCCCAAACCCGATGAAGGGAGTCCTCATACTCGAACTCAGGCTGGATTGCCATGGCACGGAGAGGTGCAAGCACCAGGGAGAACACTGTGCAGGAGCTGGGTTTAGGGTTTAGGGCTTAGGGTTTAGGGTTTATGGTTAGGGTTTAGGGTTAGGGTGGCTTGGGGTCAACTAGCTTGAGGGCACAGTGTTGGGAGCAAGAGACGCAAGTTGCATGCAGACCTAAACACCATACCATCAAGAATCAAGGAAGTCGGACAGATATACTAAGACTGCCGCTACAAGAGAATGGTTCATGGACTCATCCCGACACCTTCCCTAAACCGTAAACCCTAACCCCTAAACCCTCGGGATTTAAAGTTCCGAAACTTCGACTGACATCGCGAACGGCTGGAAAACCTAGGGATTCACGTGTGAGAGGCTGTGGCTGCGATATGCAAGATCGCACTGAAGGCAGACTACGGGGTTTAGGTCGGGTTTGGGGTCTAGGGTACCCTTGAACCCCTAAACCCTTACGTCTTAAATTCGTTACAAGGGCCTGTAGAGGCTGCCAAAATTCTGCAGAACCGGTCAGGAAGGTGAGGGAGAAGCAAATTAGGGATGGTGGGATTCCCCAAAGCCAAAGAAACCCATCATTCATAACAAATGACCATAATAGTTGCCTAGACTCAAGAGTGACCTAGGAATAAAAAGGGTGCCTTTTTGGGCTTAGGAGCCTAAACTCAAAAAACGGGATAAGGCCCAAATGAACCTAACCCCCCAACCTAGTTACAGCAAAGCCCTCTGACTCAGCATTCGTGAGCGCAGGTCCCAGGATACGTCCCTAAGAACCGCACAGGGTCCACACCTGCGCTCTTCGTGCTTAGGGTTCTGTGGTTTAGGGTTTAGGGTCTAGGGTTTAGGGTTCTTAACAAGTAGATACGACTCTCACCATATTCGGGCCTGTGCATGGGTGCCCTGACATTTCCTTACCATAAAGAACTAGCACCACAAAGCACCAGGAATCAAATCAGGTCGCAAAACGACGATGGCAGATGCAACCCCGATCTCTGCAACCCCGATCTCTGGTGTCTCCCCCCACCCCCCAACCATGCCCCACGAAAGCAAGCTTTGGAATTCTCGTGCTGTTGCCGACTGGCTGCTAGTTACTGTACAGGCGAAGAAGGGAGCAGGTTTTTGATATCCCCTAAACCCTAAACCCTAAACCCTAAACCCTCAACCCTAAACCCTAAACCCTAAACCCTACCATTTGATTGCTTGCGCTTTGTGGTCCTCAACAACCCCTTCAGGTACCACTTTACATCCCCTTGTTTGCTTTTGGGCTGCAAGGTCTGGTAGAGATGGGTACGTGTTGCAGGGCGCTGTACTTGGAGGTTCATGGTACTTCGTAACCCAAATTATAACTGTACTAAAGCCCACGAATCACCCCATTAGGGTACTTAAAGGGGCTCATAGATGGGTTACAACTACACATACGTATAACTCCAAGTAGGGGTTCGGGACGAGATGACAACGCCGAAGCGTGGCATCATGTCGACGTCTTTTATTTGGGGCGCCTTTAGCCCCCCTAGTTTTGCAGACACAAAATCTACCTGGGAATCTATTTACCTACAGTCTAGTAGTAGCTACCCTTACTGAGACAACTCTAGGTAAGAAGGGCCCCAGGTAAGGGGAGGGGGAAGGGGGCGACGATTCCGGTCAGAAAAGTCTCATGCGCTGTTGCAGATTAGACTGAGATGGGTACCAGCCATGATTGAAGCACCTACAATACAAACAACACGAACCTAACGTAGCAGCAACCTCCATGTTTCGTGCGGCTTCTTAGAAGTAGTAGTAAATTATGGACCCTACTCCGCGTTCTTGTCGCACGAATTCGCTCGGCAGAAAGGGCTTTGCCCCTCCGCAGGACTAGCGACTTGTGAAACTTTCAACTCAAGATCATGGCTGCGCTCTCAGTGATTGATGAATGTACAGTCTTGCTAGGCATGTTACCCTAAACCCTAAACCCAAACCCGAAACACTAAACCCTAAACCCTAAACCCTAAACCCTAAACCCTAAACCCTAAACCCTAAACCCTAAACCCTAAACCCTGCCAGCCACAAGCCCATGTAGCAGGTTGAGTGGTCCGCGGGCAGGGATGAAAATGAGCCCACAGAAAGCCTAAGGGCCTTTCGTTTAGGGGTTTAGGGTTTAGGGCTACCTTACATTGAATCTAGGACAACTTCCCTCGGGTTCTTCAACACACATATCCCTCATCTATAGCGCTTCTATATCCTGTATATCTCTTACACACTGCCCTATAAAACCACTGACCCCTTACAGAAGCCTTAAAAAAAAAAAAAAAAAAAAAAAACCGTGTGCACCTGATCACCCTCGTGTCCTTAGCATGTGGCAGCTGCTCAGCATACCTGTTCCCAAACCCTAGACCCTAACCCCTCAATCCTCAATCCTAAACCCTACAGTGAACCCAACCCTAGTAGCAAGAAGGTAGGTGCGCTTTTTGGTAAGGATTTTCGTTTTCGAGGGACTCTGATCCTATGATCCATCCCTTCACCCCCCCAAACACTATGCCCTAAACCCGAAACCCTAAACCCTGAACGCTAAACCCTAAACCCTCTACCCTAAACCCTAAGTCCACCATGGTTGGGGCCTAAGGCGGCACAAACATGTCGTACTCCATCGTCAACTCAGAGCCCGAGTCGTCGAGGAGGATCATGCTCCGGGCACGAGGCCTCCTAGCCTGGATCTGTTCGACATAGGGTTTGGGGTTTGGGGTTTAGGGTTCAGGGTTCAGGGTTTAGGGTTTAGGGTTTGGGGTTTAGGGTTTGAGGTTTGGGGTTTGGGGTTTGGGGTTTGGGGTTTAGGGTTTAGGGTTTGGGGTTTGGGGTTTGGGTCTGGAGTTTAGGGTTTAGGGTTTAGGTTTCAGGTAAACCCTGCCCCCGAAGGCCCGAAACCCCTGGACTTCACCTCGTTTATGAACCCTAGAAGCCCCGTGCTAAACCCTAATCCCTCCATCCCCCCTCCCTGACCTCGGAAAGAGCCCTGAACCCTAAACCCTAAACCCTGATAGCCTTGCGGGCAGCCGCCAGATAGAACTCAAAGTCTACACAGGTATTTTAGGGCCCTGGGTTTTTGGGTTTTGGGTAGTGCACATATTACAAAAACGTAGGATTTCAAGGGTTGGGGGTTTGGGGTTTGGGGTCTAGGGATTCGGGTTTAGGGATACTGTGGCTAGTTCTTCCAGGGGGCGACTCCCTTTCTTAAGGGGGGCACAGGATGCCTGTCGCCGATGTATGTTGGAGTTCAGCCCTATCCCCCGAAACCCTAAACCCTGAATCCTAAACCCTAAACCCTAAACCCTAACCCCCAAGAATTCAAGGGTATAGGGCAGAAGGGAGCTGTAGGTTTCGCTTTCGAGGACTTCAGGGCTCTTTAGGGCAGCAGAGCTGAGCATGGGGTTGGGCTAGGGTTTAGGGTTTAGGGTTTAGGGTTTAGGGTCTATAGGGTCTAGGGTTTAGGGTTCAGGGTCTAGGGTTTAGGGTTCAGGGTTTATGGGTTTAGGGTTTAGGGTTTAGGGTTTAGGGTTCAGGAATCAGGCTTCAGGCCATGAAATCCTTAAACCCTAAGGCCATAAAACTCTTCAACCCTAAATCGTAAACTTTAAGCTAAGCTCTGTGCTTAGAGACTATAACGTTCAGGGTTTGCGGTTTAGGCCATACAACTTTTGAGCCGTCAACCCTAAACCCTAAACCGTAAACCCTGAACTTTAAGTTTCGCGGCTTGGGGCCCGACAGGCTCGTACTTCTCCTCCACGTCCTCATCCTCCTGGTCCTCCCCAGCACGCTGGCGAGCCTTGCGCCAAGCCTAAACCACAAACCCTAGACCGTAAACCTTAAACCCTAAACCCTACGAAAACCCTAAACCCTCAACCCTACGTAAACCCTGAACTCTGAACCCTAAACCCTAAGCCCTAAACCTAAACCCCTCCTTTGGTAACCCCTAAGGGTCGCACATGCGCATGGAGCCTAGCTGCTTGGGGCCGAATTGTCTGCCCGCTCTTCGGGCTTAGCAAGGCTTCTTGTCCACGGCTGGGTTTAGGGTTTAGTCCAAAACGGTTTGGGGTTTAGGGTTTAGGGTGCAAAGGCCTACTTGAAGGGTTTAGTCCAAAACGGTTTAGGGTTTAGGGTTTAGGGTTTAGGGTTTAGGGTTTAGGGTTTAGGGTTTAGGGTTTAGGGTTTAGGGTTTAGGGTTTAGGGTTTAGGGTTTAGGTGTTTTGGGTTTTGGGTTTTGGGTTCAGGGTTTAGGGTTGAGGGCTTAGGGCTGAGGGTTTCAATTTAAGGTGGAGCCCTGGCACCTGACACCCCAGATCCCACAAGGCCCTAATGCCCCAAATCGTGCACCACTGAACCCCCGAACTGCGCACCCTAAACCCTAAACCCTAAACCCTAAACCCTAAACCCTAAACCCTAAACCCTAAACCCTAAACCCTAAACCCTAGACCCTAGACCCTAAACCCTAAACCCTAAACCCTAAACCGCACCGGCATGGCCTCGGAGTTGTTGAGTTTAAGAATCTCTGCTTCTGAACCCTCAATAATTAATGTACCCATTTATGGCCCTTCTTTGCCCTTTAAAAAGGGTGGAGGAAGGTTTTAAGCCCCAACCAGCCGAAGCCCCAAGCCCTAAACCCTAAACCCTGGAGGTTCGATGCACGGTTGATTGGGGCTGGAGGGCGTGGGTTTTACGGCTTTGGGGTAGGGTTGGTGCGGTGTAGGCTTTAGAGGGTTCAGGGGCTGTAGGGTTTGGTGGAAGGGTTCAAAACCTGCTCCCTGAACCCTAATTAGTGGCCGAAATCGAAACTGAAGGCTCCGACGCCGCAGATGTCGCCAAAAAACGCTTCCTCAGCATCTCCAATAAAGCTGGCTGTGGCACTGCCTTCGCCGACGGGGAAGGCGGCGGCGCTGTCATGATGAAAGTACCATCGGGCATGGCCTGCCCCATCCAGGTTTTGTCGTCCAAGCAGACGAAGTTGCTCTCGTCACGCGTAGAGCCGCT